AATGAAACAAAGTGCTCTGGTTAATTCTTTATTTTCAACATCAAATACATTGATAAAAATTTTGCACCAACCAGGTAGCCTATTGGATTTTTCATTTAGACTTTTTTAGAACAAACTTCTTCAGGTGCAAAACAAAGAAAAAAAAATCTCACCAAAACAAAGACATCAACAATTCTATATGCATCAGTGAAAGAACAGAATACTTCAACAAATACGTCATGGCAGCTGAGCCTATACCAAAGAAAGGACTTTCCACTGACAGACCACATAGTGCACACAAAAGTATTCGCTTCATAGTATGTACAATAAGGTGATGCATAAAGTGGCTGCTTAGTGCGAGTCTTGTGACCAGCAGTCTACCCCTTCATTTTCTGATGGGCACTTTCTGAAGAAACAGACTTCTCATTATAGGCACACAGGAGTAACAAAGCATATGAATTAGCAAGATGGCAGCATATATACTTTTTTTTTCTTTTTTGTTTGTTTCTTTAGGCACATTTGAATGCAAAAGATTTTTTTAGATTTTTTTTTTTTTTAAAACACAGTGCAAAACTGAATACCCTTGTGGGCAACAATCACTTCGAAAACAACTTTTGGGATGTAAGGCTATCTACATTTGAAAGATGAAAGGGAATTGTGAGTAGAAAGGGTAGGACATTAATGTTAGGGAAATATTAATATTAAATTCTCAGACCAATATGAGATTCTGCTGTAGTTGCAGGTGACAGCAAAGACTGGTTTGTTTTACGATGCCGTCGTTACCATGACCCTTCTTTTACATGTGTTGAATTTTTGCCTATAAAGCTGTGTTACGGCTGAAGAAAGCATTGAAAATAGCCATGTCTCTATTCAAAGCAAGAAATGCACTTCACGTAAGATCAGCTGAGAACACTTTATATACAAAAACCCATTAGCTTTAGGCTGGGTTGCTTTCTAAATTTTAAGCAGGATATTATATACACAAGAGAGGCTTGCTGTGTTCCTACCAAAGCCTGCAATAAGACTGAGGCCCTAATGAGGCAGAATCTTTACTTTGCTGGTAGTTTGTTTCATTTTGAATATTTGGCACAACCTTTAAGGAAACAGTCGGCATCAATGGGAGTGGATGGAGGCTCCAATACAAACCCTGGCTTGGATGAAGGGGGGTGGTTTGGGTTTTCTTTTGTTTTCTTTATTTTCAGTTTAGTCCAGTGACCTGCTGAGAGTCTTTGCAATATCCTTGGGAGCTCAGTTCAGATTATTTCTTTAACTGTATTTTTAAATCATTAAACCCCTCAGTGTACAGCAGGAGAAAAATCATCAAGAGATGTCACTGAAACATAATAGTAAATTTACCACAAACACACACCAAGGGACACTCATCAAATTATTTCACCCCAGTACAGATCCTACTGCCCCAACTGGGAGTTTTACCTGAGACCGAGACATGGCTCGAACTACAACAAACCTGATAGCTTTCACATGTTCAGAACTTGGACACCACTAAGTGCTACACGTCACCCTATCTCCTCTCCTGCCTCCCAAGCTTTTTCTAACAACTCAGTAACAACCATATTCTCAAGCAAAGCAAGTTCATCTGGTCTATTTCTGTTTGGCTTGTGCTGGTATTACGTTGCCTATGTTTCTAGGGGTTTTTTTGGTTTTTTGATATTTTTTTTTTTAAAAAAACAAATCCGTGTATAAACATTATAAAAGGATTCTTTCATTAGCTGTCTAGAGACATCACTATGAATGTTTTGGTAAAAGCGTAATTAGCTGCCTTGAATAGTTTTATTTCAATTTTTTTTTTTACATGCTATATATTTTTATTTAATGTCCAGCACCAGGTATTCAGGTAGTACTGGTTTGTCTGCTGCAAATATAAAGTATATATTTTTATATGTACACACACATAAAATAGCATCCTGTGAAATAACAATTACCAAATGTCAGGCACATTTGTTTGCATACACGAGAGCATAATTCAGAATTACATATGAAAAATGTTGCCATTTCTGTATCGTAGGCTTTGTTTAATCTGTTGAATAGCTACATTCAGCTGTCTGCTAGGCAGACGATCATCTTTATAGATAACTATGGGAAGGTTACTGTATTCATTAAGGTGCTGCTTTAATTAACAATCTCATGAACAAGTTAATGACACATATCCTGCAACTGCCCCAAGGGAAATGAACCTGTTAGTGGGAATCACTGTTTTTCTTTCTTTGGTGCCCTTCACCGTTGTCACCACAAACAAGGGAGAACTGGTTCAATCTAAATTACTTCCTTGCAAGGGCTGAGCTTAGGAAAGCGTTCATAATTAAGATTGTGAGCTGACTGATTATTCTTTATGTTCCAAGACACATTATGATACCCTTCTGTCTGCTGCATACCACTTCAAATGACACTTGCCCAGTTTCACGGGGAAAATCTGTAGAGTGGAGTGGTACTTGCCCTGTGTAAGTGCCATCGGGATCTGACCCTCTGCTGTGAATTGCTCTCCATGAGCTACTCTTTTTTTTTTTTTTCCTCTAGGCCAAATTTACACTTGAATTGATGTAATGAACTGTTCTGGGATGTAGGAAGGGAGGCATTCATTTAAACCAATTGGCCTTGCAGCTTATGAGCTTGCTCTGTGTGTTCTGTTGTGGAGAACACCAAGTTGCACGTACAATATTTAGAGAGCAGCTCTAACGCACACTGGGCTACAAGTGAACGATGGTGTAAGCACGTAAGTGTAACTACAGGGATTTGTGTGCTCCATTCAGTTCTTAGCGTGCCCTCATTTGAGAGCATTCATGATTTTTCTAGCAAACACATTTGAAAACCAGCTACCAAACAAAACAAAACGTGCATTTTCTTTCAAGGCATTTAGGAGACCTCCAAAAGCCCTTAGGTACCAAATTTGCACACGCACTCACACGCACACACACACACTCTTACTGAATACACAAAAAGACAAATCCTTCAGCACATTCAGAAAAAAATGACACTATAATATGCATCAATAAAAAGGCCTATTAACTTACAGTGACTGCTTCACATGTTTAGGCTTGCACAGTTTTTGAGGACTCTTCTCAAACGTAGGTAGCATCTAGCTTTAGGCTTTTAAACTGCACGTATCCTTGGATATGTACATGAAACTGTTACAGACATCATTATGTACATTCACGAAAGAATCGAATCCTTGACTTGGAGCACATGCTTGTCCTATGCCTGGCTGCCTTCACAATCGCCATGTACCTCAGTCTCACTGCACACAGACTCTGCTTGTGTAACAGGGAGAGTAATTAGACATAGACACTCCTGTGTGGCATTAGTTGCACTATTTCCTATATTTAGTTACTACAGGATATTCCCATCAACATAATCTAACATAAAGGTTTCCACTGTAGGAGTAAAAGAAGCATCCCTGAACCCTTCTCTAGCATTGTGCCCAGCTGCCGTGGAGCAGCCTACGCACAGGCTATGAAACACCCTTACTGGCAGGGTGGTCACTTCCAACCAGCTGTTGGAATAGTCCCTGGTCCGTGCTAACTCCCAAACGGCACCTGCAAACCAGATGTGCAGATAGCACAGGCAGAGTTTCTCACTAGACTAACAAAATATCCCTGGCATATGTAATAATTGCATTCCAGTACCCAGCAACATTCCCTGACAGGGTTAATTTTCTAGCAAGGAGGCAGTCAAACAGCAGCACTGACTCCTACTTGGAATAGCACATGGTATGGGTTTCTTCAGTCTCTCTCCTTCCCACTGAAACTCTGGATGTCAGTAGACGTTTTGTATATTTACAGTTGGCCTGAAGAATCTGACTAATCCTTATGAAAAACACACACATGTGTGGAGAAAGCCAAATTTATCTTCCTGGACATGCAGTCCCAGAGTCTTCACCAGGTCTGAGGCTCATGGCCCAGTTCGGAGTGACCTGGTGAGCTGGTTCTTAACAGATTTCTGAGCATGCCCAGCGAGAGCCAAGGAAAGCCAAGGCAATGCAAAGCCTCCTGCTCTGGCTCTGACGCCAGCCCTCCCACACATGGCCAGGCCACAATCTACTGAGTGGGATGGGACCATCCCACCCTGCTCTGCCAGTCTGGCGCTGGCATCCCCACCCCTTGGTTTGTAGCGCAACAAAGCAAAGGACAGGGGGAGGTTTTTATAAAATAGTGCTGGATCGTGTATGTGTGTCAACACCAGTTTTTCAAAGACCTGATGGTTTTTGTAATCATCTGGTCTGGTATCGCTGTTTGCCGTGTTGCCCTTGATTTACACGCTGCCAAGCAACAGAACAATTTAGCTTTGTAGGATCAGACAAGATAGGATGCACACAATGCAATTCGGCTGGAGGTATGGTAAGGGGACCTAAAAGTTTGGTCAGTATGATCTTGAGAGGCAGTTGTGTGCTGATGTGAGCCAGCAAGGTAAAGCAGTATTGTTCTCAGGCAGGGGTTCCCTTCTGCTGTAGGAAGAAGAGAGGCTGGAATCTACCTAAACTACTAAGGCAGTCATGAGCAGTGCAGTCTCACTATGGCACACTAAGATGCCAATCAACTTTCGATTTACTCCCAAAAAAAGTCATCCAGAATCTCTACCAAACTGCGTCAAAGTTTCAAGCAAGTGAAGGATTAAGCAAGCTCAGAGTTTGGGGTGGATATCAACAAAGGCTACCGCTCACGAAGATACCAATACGCATGGGTGGTATGGCCTATTAATTTATGGTAAAATGAATGGTTTAGATTAGGACTTACCCAACTTAACACGCAAAATTAAATAAAAACACTGCAAATTTTAAATCAAGTTAGCCTGACAATCCTTGCTGGCTGTCCATAGCAATGAAATGTCTTCCATCTAGGGTAAGCAAGCAATTTAGGCAAGAGCTTGACAAACACTGAAATGGAAAATGCAGGTGACTGTTGCCACTGGAGTGTTTACAGCGGTGGCACTACGGACGACACGAAGCATGAGCTCGGTAATACGCTGCTGGGTTTCTCATACCATCATATATGCTGACTCTCATCTATCTATATGGTATTCTGCATGGTCTCCTCTTCTTTGCTGTTTATGTAAAAAGACTGCAAGGAATGAGATGAAGCTGTTGCAGTTGTCAGCTGGCTCCGGTTCTCCTCCTCCATCGGTGCAGCACTCCTGGCTGCTGGGGCATGCAGTCGGTGAGCGTCCAGCATCTCCAGCAGAAGGTCGTAGAGTGGAACTACGTTTTTACACTTCATGTTGTACAGGTGCTCCATTCCTTTGTTGCTGTGGGTTGCAACGCAACAAAGGTTACTTTCCAAGTATGGTGGGGGATAAAAAAAAAATGTTATCAGCTAATAGTATTTGCTAGGTTCCTATAAATCCCACCTGGTATGAAACAACTAACTTAACAATGCAGTTGCTGTGGCTCTTTTGCTCTCCTTTGCCTAAAAGGTAGACTAGGGCACATGGACTCCTAGCTCAGGCACTTAGACTAAGTGGATGGGATGAATCTTGGATTTCCCATCATAAAACCTAAAATACCAGAATTTTTTTCCCAAAAAATAACCTTAGCCAACTTATTAGCAAATGTTCACTTGTAATAGTATCCATTCACAAAACTATGGAAAAAATAATTAACTTCACTGTCCATCTGGTACTTCCTTAATTTCTTCTTAAGGGAAAAAAAAAATAAAAATTGTTAACACCCCAGGCACTGAGCAGTTACCTTAAGAGGTAATTAATTATGTTTGGAAGAATCATTGCTGCGACTACTAACAGAGTGGCCTAGACACCTCACCTCTAATTAGCAAAGGGCACAGTCCTCTAGATTAGAATTCAGTAGATCTGCAAAATACACATAATGAGTCTCATCTCTTTTCTAAAGTGATTTGCAATCAAGCCACTTGTGAAAAGTGGCTACATAGACGTGATAGTTTTAGTAATTATAGGAGACTAAAGTGTGCAGAACTAGGCTACTGCTATGTTAGAATTGTACTTGGTACTTTTCAAACAGAATACCAGATGCACAAAACATTAAAAGCAGATACTGCTTACAGCACCATCACAACAAGAAGCAAAGGAAAAGAAAACTAGATGAAACATTTGCTCCTTTCACACCATAATCTAACGTACACTTTTGCACACGTGTTCCATACATCTTTATGGAAAGTAGACATAGATTTTTGTTGTTGTTGCTGTGGCAGCTCTACACACAGTTTGCATTCCCACCTCATGCATTTGTGAAACCTCCCTCGCGCAGACGGGCGCTGGAGGGCTGACTGCGTGCTTGCTCTCACCTCATGTGTCTGATGTGAGAGAGGATGAGGAGGAGCTGAGCCAGTCGTCTGTGTTGCTGCTGCAGAGAAAGACCCGACTTAGCCATTAAGTGTATCAGAGTGTCTGTGATTTTGTCCAGAACACGGTGAATATAGTCTCTCTCTTCCAGAGATTTCAAGGTGCTGGAAAGAAAAGTGTACACACCTGGAGTAGGAAGGAGAAAGAAAACAAAGAAACCACAGACAAAAATTACTTTGATGGAGTCAGACTTGCCCAAGGTACACCTCGTGGCTGGCCTCTTCTGCTGTCTTAAACCACAGGAGCTGACTCTGTGCCAACCCTCCCGCTCGCCAGCCAGGTCACTGCTTTGCATGACCCTGGAGCTTGGATTTGGTCACTGTGGGTAAAGCAGGAGGAGGAAGATGATGCCTCTTCCCTGCCCGGGTCCATCCAAGGTCTGGGCCAAGTGGCGGGCGATGCCTGCAGCTCGACCTACCCATGGGCACTCTTCTCTCAGTCACTTGGCTCCGAAACCTTGAGGAGATGCTGTTGCCCCTTGAGACCTCTGCAATACTCACCAACCCAGGCCCTCGGCAAGTTTTCCCATTTTCCCTGCTATTTAATGTTTGATTTTTGGTGATTTGCTAGTCAGGCTAGAACTGAATAATGTCTTACCAGAAAACATGTAAACAAATTCAGGGATTATTTACACACACTCTCCTCAACAAAACCTTCCCAACCAAGCAAGAGCCTTGAAAGGTGTGCCCCTTCACCTGCAACCCAACTCTCCTTTAAAACCCATGTCCAAAGCAACCTGTGTAAATTCACCCATCTCACATTGCTTATTGATGGAAATGAGCAGCCTGAAGATTTGGAACAGAAGGAAATTTTTCCAGGGATCAAACTCCCCCTCCAACAGCCCCTCTACATCTCTTATCAAACACTCTAACCCAGGCCTAAGAGCTTTGCCCAGTAGCAATTCTTGGGTGCGTGAAGCACATCAGCTTTCTAAATGGGAAATTCTAAACTAGTTTGCACAGGGTTTTTTAGTCTTGATTTTGTTCTGGACAGCAGCACCCACCCAATGTGAATCAGGTCCCAACAGCACCGTGCTGCCAAAGGCAGACTGCTGCACTCGGCACCAGTTATTTACTCTCCTGGACTGAGCCAGTAACTCTAAACAGATCATTACTCTAATCCAGCCCGGTAGCAAAACCTTAAGATGTATGTATGCTAATAAAATCAAACTGGCTCGGTCATGGTGTGTTCATTGCCCTGTGTCTGTATGTACTTGAGAAGTCCTGTGCTAGAGCCCTTCTGCATCTGCTCACAGAGCCAAGAAGAAATTTGGATTTTATCCTTGGAAAAAGTTGGTTTCTGGAATTACTTTTCATTTTACTTTTCTTTAAAGCATGATATATAGCACAGTATGCAATGCAGTTAGTCATATTAAAAAAAAGACGCACATGCACACTAACGTGCACACATACACAACCAGACCTGAGGGCTGTACCCTCAGACTTGCAGATAAGGGTATTTGCCATGTACCTGAGCAGTCAGGGAAACTGAGATTTTTTTTCCCGTATCTTCTTGGCATACCTCACCTCCTCACACCACCTGGGCACTTCAAGGACCTGACACCTAGAACTGCTGTAACCTGCAAGTAGGTTTTATGACTTTGGGTCTTCAAAGAAATACAAATCTGTGTTTGTCCAGGTCAGTGTGAGTGTCTCTGAGAGAAAGTGAGATAGACTGCTTTGAAAAAACAAAGGGTAACTCAAACACAGAACAACTGAAAACCGTGAGTCAGACCTCTTAATTTTGGTAATGAACACTGGTTTGAATTTAATATAGATAGTACAATGGCCTCTTTTCTCACAAAGCTTGTTGTTGTTGTTATTATTTACTGAAATGAATTCACCAGCTTCTGGCACTTTTCTCAGTTGAATTACTCTTAACCACCCTCACATATGCCTCCTGACAATACCATAGCTTAGCAGGTACCTGTAGGGGCAAGATTCTTAAACATCACTGAAAAAACACAGTCCGTTAGAAGGAAACATTAGTCTCCTCAATCCACAGAGCCTCCAGAGCAGCTTACTTTAGCCAGAGGATGCTACTGTGCTCTTGTAGCAATACCCCTTTGTTTATTAACTCTGAAACCCGCAAAAGAAAAAAAATCTGTTAGGAGGAATTATTTCTCACCTAGGTCTAGTCCAGAAGCTATTAAAAAGTATATTTCAAAAAAAGCACTCCCTCCAAAATGTACAGTCTTCAGGCAATTGCCAGTCAATAACTGCCAAGAAAAATGACGTTTGGTTTTCCTTTTCTGCGCCCCCAGTGAGTGCTCCTGCCCCAGGCCAGTGACCAGAAATTTCCCCCAAAGAAATGCCAGCTATCCATCACGCACATACACACACAAGCAGAGTTTTGGAAAAAGACTGCAGAAAATTGTCTTAGCAAAGTGAAATTTAACAGTCTCAAAGGTCTTTCCAAGCTCCGAAGCTGAAAGCAAGCCTAAATTGAATAGCGACCAGGTTGCTTTCCAGCTCTTTCTGTAGGATAGTACTGTAAAACATAATGGGAGGGAGAACAGAGAGAGCACCACCCCGCAAACAAGTCAAGTCTGCCGGTCCGTGCCCTAACAATAAGCTGTGCACAAAACAGGGTCCCTCGGGGGACTGCAGTGCCACCATGCCAGCTGCTGGCATACAGTGATACAACTTTGTACGCGCCACTCTATACAGTGATGGTTTTTTGCATCTTACTGTAGGGGAGAACGCCCTCTGTATCTTTTCTGTTACAACAAACTCCAGTTTAAAATGCCTTTACATTTGGAGTTCAGGTTCACAAAACAATACCCAAGGCTCTTCTTCCACCATGCCCCATTGCTCAGTACCTGTAGCAAGCCAGGCTGAGCCATGAGCAAATTCAGCTCTGTACCATGCACTCGTGTAATCATCCAGCCCCCAAAATAAAGAAACAAATAAAACCCACAATTTAACAGGAACTGGAAAAATCAGGAGAAAACAATAACGGTCAGTCACATGGAATGATATATCAGGAGGTCTACAGGATGCATAAATTCAGCTAAATCTTGTCGTCTCTGTGGACTAACCAGCTAACTGATTAGGTAAATCAGTGGCTAAGGCAGGCATGACCTACATCTTGTCTCCCAAAATGAAAGCCTATTGCTTCCCTACATAGCACCACTCCTCTTTTCAGATACACTCAAAAGTAAAACACTTGGAATCATGTTGCCCGATCATGTTTCTAATACTTATTTTCCAGTTTTATGGAACAGCCCTTTGTTATTGATCTGAATGTGTTTTTTAAAAATACACTTTTGGTTTTTAGTTAAAAGATTTATTGCTGCAGCTTTAGGGGGGCACCTTCTGGTTTGTTATTTAGCTAGAGACACTGCTGTCCTTGCTGTTACAGATGTGCTATCACTGGAAAAAAACTGAATGTAGCATACATGTGTATTTTGCTTTATAATCAAAACATTTCATCTTTTCCACATGCACTGAGTGATACTTAAGGTATCACTTGCGTTTTGTGCAAAATCACACAGAAAACAATTGTAAAGATATTAAGCAGTATTGGACTCTGTTGCCAAAAAACAACAACAACAACAACAACAAAAAAACAACAAAACAAAAAACCAATAAACAGCACTACCTCATGAGAAGAGACTAACAGATGTCCAAGGATTTAATAAAGAAATGTTTGCGTACACGCAGCGAATTAAATCCACAGAAAGCTTTAGAATACAAATGGAGACTGCTCTTAAATGTGACATTTAGGATAATTAGTCCAATTTGTTTTATTCGCCCACTTGTTTAAATCTTTTTGAGATCAGCTGATTCAATCGTATGCATATATTATATAGATGGCATAAGAACCAAAATCATATTGTGTGTTTATCTGCTGTTTCTTTAGTAAAAGATTTGTGTATATATATGTGTGTAATTGCAGAAAAAAAATCGGGTAAAGGGGGCTTGGACATCACCGAGTTCAACCTCCTGCTCAAATACTGGTAACTTCAGGGTTAGGTCAACCGGCTCAGTTGTCCAGCTGAGTTTTGAGTATCTCCGAGGATGGAGATCCTACCATCTTCCTGGTCAGCCTGTTCCAGTGCTTAGCCTCTCACTGGGAAGATTTTTGTTCTGTTCATCTACTCAGGATCTCCCTTGCTGTGGTTTGTCTGCATGGCAGCGTTGCCCTTTCCTCTGGCACCTCTGAGAAGTGTCTGGCCCTGGCTTCTCCATAACCTATTGTCAGCTGTCAGAGGACTACAGTTAGGCCCTCCCTTAGCCTTCCCTTTTCCAGGATGAACAAACCCTACTCTCGGCCTCTCCTCGTACATCCTGTATGCTGTGTGCTTCAGATCACTTAATATTTCATGCGTGTCCAACACTTTACCTAAGGAGGCTGTGAAGAAAAGCATCTCCAGAAGACATTTTAGAGTATATGTGTGCCAAACACCACTATTACACATACCCCAAATTATGCTATCTATCTCCATAATGCAGCCTCATCTCCTGATCTGGGCATCTAAAGAGTCTCAAAGTCAGAAACTCGTGTCCACATTCCCACCACCTAGTAGTTAACTCCTCAGACAGTTGTAACATTAATTGTTTACAGGAATGCAACAACTGCAATGTAAAATTAATATCACTTTTTTGGTAATTGATGACAACCACAACAAAACCTGAATCACATTAATATCTCACAAAACATAAATACTTTATATTTGATTGCATAAATATATAATTTTGTTTGAACAATTTTTTCTTTTTTCTTAGTAGACTGTGTCCAAGTTTCCATAAAGAGGTGCCCGATCAATAAAGCAAAGTCTGCCGTGTTTAGAGTTAGCCTTTGGTGGGAATAACCTGAATTTGTATTTCATGCAACTTGGGCCAGTGATCTGTTAGACCACTGGATAAAAAGGACATACAGCCCTCCACATGTGCTTTGTCTAGAGGTCTATACCACCTACAACTTCAAACCCAATGGGAAAAGGGAAGAACAAATGGGTAAATCCTCAGGGTTGTGAAACTGGCATCTTTAGACATTAGGTAACAACTTAGCAGACAATTGAGCCTAAAATTTTTACTTTGGTGCCTACAATATTGGTTTAGATCTCTATTGTTTCTGTGGGCCTCATTTCTGCATTTAAAAGTAAATTGTAGTTTTTCCTCACCAAAACAGAAAAGGATCCTCTGGTGTGCAACAGAAATTTTCTGTCACATGCCTCAACCTAAATTTCCTTATTTCAATCATCTCATGTGGTATTCAAGTCAGTTAACCTTACATATGTATACATACCTACACTTGTTATCTAGTCACCTGTTTTTGAAGTGTACTTCAGGATGAGGTTTATAGCCCAAAAATACTCATTTCATCCACTATAGGGAAAGTGGAAGGTGATGACATCAGTTTTAGATACCTGTATTTTTATATAAAATGAACCATGATAAACTTAGCCATATTTTTGCCATTATTTCCTTTTATTCTGCCTTTGACAAAAAAGGAAGATGTATATTTACAACTAAGCCTTGCCTTCGGATGCCCTAAGTTTGGCTCCAGCTACTTCAGTGTCTTGTAGTCAAAGCTTTAAGACCTGCCATCACCTAGATCAAAACCCCGCTGTGATCGCCCTTCAGGCCCGCTGTACGCAGTGTATCTTACGGCACTAATTTGCTGGGTCCCACCTACAGCGCTGTGCGGGTTTGCCCACTTCCGTCCCTGCCTGTGTCTGTGCCGACAGCACTCATCCTTTCGATTGCTGCCATCCCAAATTGCAAACGCCATTCGCGACCACAACCAGCATTCAACCACATGCAGGACCAACCGCAATTACCCGAGCGACAGCGAAGCACACCACTTACCAGAATTGAGCAGGATGATGGACTTAAGGCACACAAACTCCTCCCCTTGAAGGTTCATCATGCGAAACCGAGCAGCAGTAGCCAGCAGCATGTCAAAGATTTCCACCATGCCCTCTACACACTTCCCTTGATTCCTGTGTGAATACCATCAAGGGGGAGATATTCATAGCTTTAACCTGATGGAAGCATGAGCTTTTCATTCCCCTGGATCACTCCTTTCTAATTCGATTTCATCAGTTTCCTAGCTAACGCATGACTTCCTACTCTACGCTCATTTGCTGTACGTGTGATTACGGAAGCATAGTTCTCAGGATCCCACATAAAATGAATAAATAATTAAATACTATATTCCCCCTCAAAAATTTCAATTTCTCAAACTTGTCAACAAGGCATGACTGTGGTGGAACATATAGGATTTACTCAACCAAACCTTTACACCTTTTAAACAAAAGACTTCTTTAAAACTACATTTTTATTTCTTTTTTGTGTGTTCTGTTTGTGTTACTTTGTTTCCTCTTTCTTTCTATTTTTTTTTTTTCTCTTTAACTGAAATAGTCCCAATTCTTTGCATTTCCCCCTCCCTAACATTTTGTACTGTTTCTACCTGGCCTTGCATTCTGTAGTGTTCCAACATGCTTCTCCCATTTTTCTTATACCAGCATAATGCCTCCTTAAAGAATAAGCTGATTCATGAGCTCAAGAAGGGTTTATGAGGCCAAAATCTTGCCTGTATGACTGAGTCTGATTAAAACTATCACTTCACTCGAAAAATCAGAGAACTTTTTACATTATAGCATCAAAGAAAGCTGAAGTTTGGGAAATCTCATTGTGTTCATTAGTAAGGGCAATTAACCATCTCCCTCTGCTCACAATACTAGGTAGTCTCACTCCCTAGTTTTTGTCATCCACATTCAACCTGCAGTTCAAGCATTAATGCAGATCAGAATTATTTTTTATAAAAACTTAGTCTGCAAATTTTCTGGTCATGGAATTTCAGATCATTTACATTGCTACTTTTTACCAAAAACTGCCTACTTCCACTTTTATTAGGGTTTCCTGAGTGAAATTTTAACATGAAAGACTTAACGAGTGATCAGATCTGCTGATTAAAAATATACTATTTTTTAGATACAGCTTTTATGAACAGAATTTTGAAGATCATTAGTATAGGAAAATGCAAAACAAATTTCAAGTGATTGGATGGCTACTCCACTATAATTTGTAACATGAACACAGTTCCCCATCTCAGTGACATTAACAATGCTGACTCCCAGCATAGAACCACCTGCCTCATTCCTCATACAGCCATGCTGTTGAGACCCTGTAGCTGATGTCTAAACCCACACCAGACCCTCAGACAAAGTTGTGATCTTCCTCTTTGACTGCAGCCTGAGAAAATCCTTTGCACTTCACAATCATGTCTAAACCTGAAACTGAGTCAAAGGAGGAGAGGGGGTATCTTTGAGCACCTATCTCTTTTCATATGCAAATCCATATGCAGCTGCATTTGGTGCCTGAACTTAAATCTACATCTCCCTTATCCCAGAGCAGTGCCTACAAGCCAGTGACTGTGGCAAAGTAGTATTTAATAACACCACTGCCAAATAAAAAACAAACAAAAATCAGGCACCCAAAACAAGGCATGAGAATATGAACAATTACTAATACCTCAAAATCTGGTTTATGTGCTAAAATTTAAATCCTGTTGAAGTAAAAAACCATGAGTTTTTCCTGTGGGACAAGTTCCACTGCTTCTGATACAATATATTTGCCTATAACTAGACAGGGATTAAATCTGCATATATACACTTAAGCACTGTTTCAGAGGACTAAAAGCCTTTGATAGATATTCATTAACATAGATAATGCCCCAATAAAGGTTAAAGAATTTAGACTTTCAGGACGATACAGAAAGGAAAAGTTTCAGCATATCATATGGCAAATTACCTATATTTAAAAAAACGCATATCTTCATGGCTAAGACATTTACTTGTTTCCTAAAACTCATCAAACTACTGCCACGCAGTATTCAGGACAATTCAAAACATTACAGTCTGAACATACTGCAAAATTTGAATAACCAAGACCACAATTTAGAAAGAAATAGTAAGTTATTTGTAGAATTAGACCTTTTAAAATGCCTTATGGTGACTCATATGATGAAAAGATATTTTGATAACAAGTAATAATTATTCCCATCTGCTTTTTACAAAAAAGTATTCAATGGACTGTAGTTTAAAACATGAATGTTCCAGTCAAGATCAACTACAACCTCTGGACAAAAAACTCCAGTCCTGCAGCACATAGTGCCTGTGCCTAAATCTTGGTGTGTGTCTGTTTCCCACCGACGGACATAATATAGTAGATGATAAATGTTATGTAAATTTAAGAGATTCTAAATACTTTCTAATCTCATTTGTTTTGCTATCATCTGCCATGTGTGAAATACCAGGACACTCTATAAGAAAGAGTATTTCATTAGGTAAAGTACTTTCATGAAGTGAGATATGTAGCTTTAGGTATTCATTTGTGTAAATAACAATTCATACATTTCTGCTTTATTTTCAGAGTTAAGACAGCAGATCCACCTCCACTGGAATCAGTGGGAACTGCAGGAACTTACTATCTTTGAAATGTAGGCTTCTAATTAAACGTTGTTATTAACTAGGCTACACCACTGATTTTCTTTGTTAACCAATAAAAACTATCTGAAATAGGAATCTCCAGTTCTCCTGATTTCCTTTCTAACTTTCTAACATAAGCTGATACAGTATCATCACATCTTAGAGCTGTATGTCCAGTTGATAGGAAGGCCTCTCTAGGAAGACCTAGATAACTTTCCTGGAGGACAAATTAAGCAATAGATTTGAAAATTGTCCTTAATCCACCACCATACTGTTTTCTTTGTGTACTCTCAGCTTACTGGAAACAAAACCATAAAAGCCTGTTTACTGCAAAACATAAGAGTATATTCTCAGAAGAATCTTTAACACTTGGCTATCAGGAAATGTTTAGGAAAGTTAAAGCATGTGAATTAAGGGCCTTAAGTTACTGCATGAGATTTCTATCTGCATTAACATAAGTCTACTGAATCACAGCACCATCCAGGCTGGAGGCAACTATGGATGTCTTTAGTCCAACCTCCCCTCAAAGCAGGGTCAGCTCACTCAAGGCTTTATGCAAGTCTGGTCTTGAAAACCTCCAAGGGTGGAGACTGCACAACCTCCTTCTGTTTAATTATTTTCATTATCATGTTCGTTTTTTCTCCCGTATATCCTGTCAGAACCTCCTCTGCTTCAATTTATGACTCTTGTTTCTCAGTTTCCCATCCAGCCTCTTAGTCTTGATAGCCTCTTGTTGATTTTAGGTTAGGCATGCTCAAAAGCCATCTCTTTCCCAGGCTGAACAAATCCACTTCTCTCAGCTGTAAGTTACATGCTCCTGCCTTGGTGGCTCTCCACTAGGTTTACTGAAGTTTATTATAATTTTTCCTGTAATGAGGGGCACAAAGATGGATGTGGTATTCCAGTGATGGCCTAATAAGTGCCAAATGTGGATGCCCCATCCCTGGAAGTGATCAAGGCCAGGCTGGATGAGGCTTTGAGCAACCTGGTCTAGTGGAAGGTGTCCCTGCCCATGGCAGGGGGGGTGGAACTAGATGGTCTTTAAGGTCCCTTCCAACCCAAACCATTCCATAGTTCTATGAAAAAAAAGCAGAATAATCACTTTCCTTGCTCTACTGCCTACACTACCACTGATACAGTTCCACATACTGCTGGCCTTCTTTGCTACCATAATGCAGTACTGGCACATGCACAGATTGCTGCTCACCAGCACCCCAGGTCCCTTCCAGCAGAGCTGTTCCCCAGCTAGTTAGATGTCATCTTGAAAGTAGCAGTGGATTAAGTCTAGCACAGGTGCAGGACTTTCCATTTCTCCTGACTGAATTTAATGAGCTTCCTCTCAGCCCATTCCTCCAGCCTGTCTAGGTCGATCTGTATGGCAGATCTGTGCTCAAGCATATCGATTGCACTCCCTAGTTTGGCGTCATCTGCAGATTTGAAGACAATGCACTCCATCTCCTCCTCCAGGTCACTGACAAATACATTTAACAGGATAGACCCCTGGGGAATTCCAACTGTAACTAGTATTAAGGTAGAGTGTGAACCATTAACAAGATACCTAGTCATTTTATCATGAAGGCAATCAGGTTGTTCAAGCACAATATACCCTAAATTTATGCTAATTCACACTCACCATCTTCTCCTTCCTGTTCTCATAAACAACTTCCATGAGAACTTGCTCTACGATCTTCCCCATGATAGAAGTGACGCTGACTGGCCAACCTGAAGTTCCCAGACTGTCTGTCTTTCTTCTTTTGGTGATGTGTGCAACATATGCATTTATCCAGTAACTGAGGACCTCTCCTGGTCTCCACAGCCTTTCAAAGATGACAGAGAACAGCCTTGCAATGGCATCATCCCATAGTCTTGGATGCAGTCCATCCCATGGGCTTGAATGTGACAAGACTTCTTAAGAGATTCATGACTCAGTCCTCTTTTACTAATTCAATCCTCTCCTCCTTAAACCCTCTACATACAAATAATAACCTAGATGTTATTTAAGTCTTGGAAAAAAACCCTAGATATAAGGAATGTCTTTTATGGAAACACAGGATCAAGTGACAGTCAAGTAAACATTAACAGTAAATAGTGTTGAAGTCAAAGGAACAGGGACTCAGGGGATATTCTCATCAAATTTTCCATTCACAGTGAAAAGCCAAAGTCAGCACAGATGCACCCATCAAACAGAAGCCTGACTGTATCTTTATTGTCTCTCTGGCTTCTTTCATCATGGTACTTCATTTGATGACAAGGGACGGGCAAGAACAAATGGGATCCACCAGACTAGGAAAGAGAAGTTCATCTTCACAAATGGACTTAGTAACTTGGTGAGAAAGCCTCTAAAGAAGGCTTGCCACAGGGTTTGTTCCTAAGCCCAAATGTAGGTTAGGAATCAGGGGAGGTATGATTGAGAAAAAGCTGCAGGGACAGCATTCACATCCTTAGAAGGGTGGGTATTCAGTCTTAACTCAAGAAATGGGAGTCTGTACAGAGACTGGAAACACAGAGGCCTGGTGGGTTAGTGCACAGATCAGATAGCGCATGTGATTGGAGAATGGTCGTGGATGGGTACAACTTGATTAGGAAGGACATGTATGGAAGAAGAGAGGAAAAACTTGAGGACTGTATAAAGGGAGACCTTGATGGCACAGACATTAAGAAACCAGAACCTCCTACGTCAGGGGACTGTGTCAGAGGAGAAATTAACACTGAGTGGGGGGGGTGGGGGGAAGGATGGTTACAAACTGTCCGTCCAAGAGTATAAAGTGTATAAGTTTTTCTATAAATAACTTATAGAAGTCTCCCAGTCACTGGTCCATAGTACTGTGGAAGATTTCTACATAGATAGACTCACATCATTGGCTGGAATGTTAACATAGCATTGTGCAAGTCATCCGAGGGGTTTCTGGACTGTGTTGATAATAACTTCCCAACACAAACAGCACAGTGGCCAACCAAGGGCAATGCTCTATTGATCCGCTCCTCACAGACAATGAGAAATTGCCGGTGAATGTGGCCACAGAGACGAAATTTGGCTGCAGCAACCATGAGGTGGGATTGAGCTCAGGATCCAGAGGTAGGCTGGGAATGTAAACAACAGAACTATGACTTGAGGTTTGGAAGAACAGACTGCAGGGAATTGTTAGGCAGGTTATTCTTGGAGACATTCTGAGGGAAAGTGTCACAGGAACTAGGCAATATTTTAAGGAAAAATTATTGAGAGGAACAAGCCCATCCCATCATAGATGAAGACTATTTCAACAGAAGATTCACTTGGCTAAGCAAGGAGTACCTTAATGAACTAAAAGGCAAAAGAACATATAAGAAATAGAAATAAAAGCAGACAGCAAGGGAGGATTACCCAAGCACTGTTTGAGCATTTATGCCTAATACTAGTGAGGGATACAGAGAGTAACAAGAAGGGATTTTACAAGTACAGCAGCATCAATTGGAATGTCAGTAAGAATGAAGATGAGGGAGAAAGCTAACTAAATAGAATGGACTGAAACAGTTAACAGCTTTTCTGGTATTTATGTGTCAGATTTCACTGGCAAAGACAACAAAGGCATATTGACAGGGGAAGGAGTTACTTAGAGAATTAGTAATTACTCCGAAGAGTAATTCCAATTGTTGAAGTCAAATGGGGTTCAATTCAGGATGCTGAAATAGTTGGTCCATGTATTCATTAGGCTACTATCTGTCACATAGAAAACAATCATGGAGATTAAAAGAGGTCCCTTACAAATAGTAGAAGGCTAACTCAACTTTGACAAAATCAAGGAGGATAAAGGAAACCAGATTGTGCTTGACCAACCTGATTAACTCTATGATGAAAACAATTAGTTAAATGGTCAAAGGGAAGATGGTGAATGCAATACAATTCAACCATAGCAATGTTTTTGGTTTACAGTATTCTTGTCCATAAACCAGGGAAATATAGGCTGAGTAGACAGATACATGGGTGGAAAATAGGCTGGGACACTAGACTCAAAGTGTAGCAGTAATAGTTCAACACCTAGTTTGCGGTAAGTAATAAATGCTCTAGAGGTTGACTCTGGAGCCAATACTGTTTAATATATTTATCAGTAATCTGGGTGAGGATAAAAAGTTCATCTTCAAATGTGTGGATGATACTAAATTGGGGCTGGAGGGAGGTTGATGCACTATGTAGTACAACCTCAGTGCTGGAGAGACTGTGGAAGAATGAACCAACAGAAACCTCTCAAAATTCAACAAGAAGAAGTACAAAAATCAGCACCCAGGGCCAAATAAAGCCATGCATCAGTACAGGTTGGAAAAACACTGGGCTGAGCCACAGCAGTCCTTGAAAATGGAAACCATGTGGAATACCAACCAACAGCATTGTCTCTTGTGGATAAGGCAAATTGCTTGCAAATTATGTTAGGAAGAATGTGGTCAGAAGAACAAGAGAAATTGTTTTTCCCCCACCTCTACTTGGTCCTGTAGAGGCTGTGCCTGTGTCCCATTTCAGGCCTCTCAGCTCAGGAAGGATGTTGGGAGGTTCCTCCTGCTGTGGAGATGATCAGAGGCGGGCAGCGCATGGCCTACAAGAAGGGGCTGAGGGACTGGATCTGTTCGCTCTGGTGAGAAGGAAGCAATGTAGGGATAGGGGACAGACAAAACAGCTGTCTACAACTGCTTGAAGGGGCATTACAGACAGAATGTAACCAAGGTCTTCTCAGGAGCAGTGAATGTTAAAGCAAAAGGCAACTAAATGCTGTAAGCTACAGCTTGGAAGGCTTGGGCTGGATTGTAGGAGGGTGGTGCAACCTTGAAACACGTACCCAGAGCGGCTGTGTGTTCTCCATCCTCAGAGACTTTCAAGAAAGCTGGACAAAGACACAGTTGACCTAAGCTGGTGTTGGCAATATTTTTGCTTCAAGAAGCAGGCTGAACAAAATGATCTGCGAACAAAATGATCTGCCACCAAAATTTTTGTTTCTGAAGTAAATTGTTGGAGAAGTTCCTAAAAGAATTTAGTTTCAGAGGGTACAATTAGAAGCAAAGATTTATTACTGGTGTGGAGCTTTTTAACCAAGAATCCAAACATGCAGTCAGCACCTGAGTAAAGAATAACAGCAATCCTTAAATCATACAAATAAGATTTGATGTACTAATGCAGCGGTAAGAAACCCCATGACCATATTACAGCCCTTTGGCTTCAATTTATGCATAAAATTGATATAGAATATAAAACAGAGAAGAAAAAATACAATTTAAAAGTTAACCCAACTTTCTCATACTTCAAAATCTCTTCATCAGTTTTAGCCTGCATTGTATTTTGGACAAAGGTTTGGAAGGAGTACAATCTTTTCTATTCATTATAGTCTATTCATTCTTATTGCATATCTGCTTGGTGTTTTATCCTCCTTACGACTTACCCTCATATTTCTATTATATTCAGTTAGGATTTGTTTCTAATTTATTAACTTATTCAGTTATGGCATAGGAGAGGAAGAATGTCTGTCTGTCTAGAGGCAAGGACACAAATTCAGAGGGAAGAAACCTAAAGAGAGAGCATGTACATATTTGAAAATTACCTTCAAGTATTAATTTTGCTTTCTTTTTGGGGTGGGGTGGGGGGTATTCAATAAAATATTTTTCAGTTGATTTACATCACTGTTGCAGTAATTATTTCTTGTTAAAACAAATACAATATTTTTGGCTACTCAAAAATATGTGCTATTAGTGTCAAGGCATGAATCACAGTCTGAGAATCACTCACAGCTGGGCAACTGGAGAAGTACTGGACTGGAATTAACATAATTCAACATGGAATAGAGTTTCTTTCCCTTCAAGAGTTTCTTGAAACAGACAGTTGCCAAATAAGAAACAAAACTGAAATATCAGATCCTAACGTAATTTTGAGGGAGGAAAAGATGCGGGACCAGAACTCTGAGATCAAGGCTGTCTTTCCCTCCACTGAGATAGGTGGTTATATTTATAACTTTTCACATAATCCATCCTTTGGGCTACTCCTGTTGGCATCATCAGTTCCCCAAAACAGGTTGAAAAGATGTGGCTGCCCACACACAGCAGCAGTTTTCAGCCAGGACGGGTCTCTCTTTTCTATAGCAGCAAAGCAACAATTAGGATTGAGCCTGAGGGTGAAATGGGCAATTCCTACTTCCAGTACTGAAAAAATTACTAGCCTACCATCCTCTTAGGATTGCTAATCTTTTTTGATGTCCCTTTTGATTGCTCCTCAACTTTGCTCTTGAACCAAAAAAGGTGACAAATTCACACACCAAATGAGAAATGTTAAAATAAAGCCAAATAAGAGAGGAAATTCAGGAAGACTGGGATTGGGTAGAACACAGAGCAGAACCATTATATCCTGTGTTATTTTTGAAGCATTAAAGAATTGTAAAAATATTTTAACATTTTTTAATGTTCTATTCATTAGAATATTATTGCAGAGTTTATGTATAGATGGTGCCTGTCTTCAGGACAAGAGACGATATTTATACTCATTACTGTGTTCTATATGCATTAGTTCTATTAATAGACATTGATAAACACTTTCTACGCCTTTGTAAAGGGATGTACTAAAACATTTTAAGGAAGCAGGATGTCAGGAAAGCTCCATCTCCAAGGTTTTAAGATCAAATCAAGAACATCCATTGGAACGCCTTAAATACTGCCAGATAGGTTTTGGAGGGCTACTTAACTAAT